CGCCATATTTGTGACGGAGATCACCAGTGGTTTTGCATATTTGTTTGTATACTATTAACGATGATTGTGTTTTGTTGACATTTACCAACAGGAAGCTGTAAGAATATTGATTCTTGGCGTCTTTGCTGATTGTGCTCATTTTAAAGTAAAATGTGGTTGTATTTATATGTAAATTGAATATTTACGTCTATGGCGATTAATAACAAAATTCAAAACATACTTCCTCAACATTTCTTCATTGTACCAACATTAAGATAAACACATAGACTATCATGAAACACGCTAGAACAGTGGTTCTCAACCTTTTTTGCCAACGGCACACCATGGAACACATGAGAAATTAGCGGCACACCTGGCTAAATATATATGAAAAATATTTGAATTTTGCAAAATAAAAACACGGCATACAATCGTCAGACTATAGTCATAGACATATAGAATGACTCAAAACTAAATAAAGCAAAACACAGCTATGAACGTACTTAATTGCAGTCTTTCGAATTTCATCAGTTAAATAGCTGGCTTCTTTAGTGAGAAATTTTCTAAGTGTGCCGTTCAAAATTTCGCGGCACACTTAGGAAGATCTTGTGGCACACAGGTGCACTAGAATAATACACTGTTTGGGGAATGCTCCTTTTTCTCTTGTTTTACTTTAGTGGGTTATCTCCCTTATTGTGTGTTTGCTTTCATTTTACATGAAGCCTTCATCACTGAGAGTCTCTGATGACACACACTAGAATAATACAACATTTTGTGCGAAGAGAGAGAGAGAGATAGTGAGAGAGAGGAGAGATAGAGAGAGCGTGAGAGAGATTGGATTTAACATCCACTCGACACAAACTAGATCATTTCGGGACTAACATATGGTTCAATTTTATTTCAATAATTCGCTTGCGCGTAGGGGTCTTTAGAAGTGGGAGGAACGCGGAGGACCCGGAGAAAACCCAGCGAGGCTGGACTAGCGACCCTACTTCATGGCACTTACAACCGGGGAATCGAATCTACGCCAGTTGACTCAATGACAGACCCTATGATACAACGCGCACGCGCTTACCATTCGGCCAACCAAACCCCCTTTTGCGTGAAGTCTGTTTGGGACTGTACGATTGCGAACGGCCCCCGGATTCAGTCACTTGATTTGATATAATTTAGCCCGTCTCGTAATATTCACCATATGTTTGGCGCAATATAGCCCGGTTGGAGCTGACGTGCCATAAAACCACATTTCATTTCATTTCTTTTCTTTGAGTTTCCTTCCGAATTTCTCTTCATACACGACATGTGTATCTATAGAGTTAACACTGCTAAACTACCTAGGGTTGGAATTTTCAGAGGAAAACTTTGTTACGTCAGAAAGTTAAGTTCGATGGGTCCTTGCATCCAGTGCTAGGTCGCATCCATTCAACAAGTGAAATTAAATTATTTTTTTTTAATTTGGAATTTCGCTGTTAGCATTGTTGTAAAGCTGCCCTTATTCTTGAGTATTGGGGTGGAGATGGGGGGGGGGGCATACAATGAAGTAGCTGACTTAAGATATCGCCAAACCTCTGCACGCCACTAGGTTTTAACAGATGTAGAATCTGTATTCAGCAGCCACTCAAGGGATTTTTCATGACTGACCGCTTAACGGGAGTGACCTCTTAATATGAATAAAAAGTTCGTTTCATCTTTTTTTTGCCATATTTAAAAAGGCTTCTTTTCTCATATTTCTCAGGCATGCACAATTATTCAAGGTTGTTTGAAACATCTAGATAATCATTGCACTCCTAGTTCCAAGGATCTGTCAATTTATCGACGACATAATCTGGGCACATACAATCAGGGAGTTGGCCCAGATATTACCAAAGCTCTGCAAGCCACTGAACTTTTAATAGGGACTTGTATAGAACCATTGGCCGAAAGGATTTTCCGGCGTATTTTTCCCTTGTCAGTGGTGATGGACGGAGGGCCTGATAATGACATGTCTAGTTGTTCGGATGGGATGAAAATCCGAGGTCCCGCGTATGTATTGGCGTGCACGTTATAGATCCCGAGGCAGTTGGAATTCGATATAAGAGTAGGCCATTGTGCAAAATTTCCCTCATAGCACACTGAATGGCGTATGCCCGTCTTCATTAACCCAGTCGGAGTAGAACAGTAGGACGTTAAACCCCATTTCATTTCATTTTATTTATGTATAGAACCAATTTCGTAATGCACAAAAAGATTCAAGATTGCTAAAACGTCCTGATAATTATTGGACCCCAACTTACAAGAATCTGTCAATCTTTATAACTTATCAATGACATAATCTGTGAAGACATTCACGTTCAATAATTGTACTGTCAAATCATTGTTGATAAGTAGAATATAATTTCCAGCTAGTCGAGACACCTACTGTTTGAAGCCTAGCATCCATTGTACGGTTAATTGGTGTGCTGATGTTGTTGGTTAACGTTTCAATCCTTTTCACACACAACAGGACAAGTAGTGAGGTTGATAACATCAAGTTAATATATCGATTTGGGGTCAGGATATTATCACACGTCGCAGCACCAGGTGTTGCGACACGTAGGAAGGCTAATTGTTAATATATATTTATATTATATGTATATTAAGATCTTTTAGAGATTACCATATGGCCTGTAAATCTAAACTAAAAGGATCGTTGTAATTGCTGTTAGTCGAATTATATATACTCATATGGATATATATTTCCGACGTGGTTTTCCCTTGTCAGTGGTGCAGAGCGGAGGACATGACAAGGACAGCTGTCTAGTCGTTCGGATGGGACTAAAAAACAAGGTCCCGTGTATACATTGGCGTGCACGTAAAGACCCCTTGGCAGTTGGAATTCGATATAAGAGTAGGACATAGTGCCGCTGCCCGGGCAAAATTTCCCTCATAGCACACTGTATGGTGTATGCCCGTCTTCATCAGCCAAGTCGAAGCAGGACAGTACAAAATGTTAAACGCCATTTCATTTCATTTCGCGTTTGTAGGTCAAATATTCCATGGAATTGAGTGGTCGAGTGGTCTTGTACCCCACCCCTACCCCACGCTCCACTCCAAACGTGTCCCTTGCCAACTTCGCAGTTTATCAATTAGCCCAATTATTGGATGGGCCAACCATGTCACCTGCCAGCTTCCATATTTTAACCGACTGCGAACAACAAAGAGTTCTTCCCGTCAAAGCATTGATTAGGACTCCACCATAAGTCAACAACCAATATTTGATAGTCTATCAAATATACAATGTACAAAATTTGACATTTCTGCTAATTGTCGTTATATCTGACCTGGTGTATACAATGTCTTAAATCCTGATACTGTTTCACAACATTTATGCGAGACTAACAAGTCGCATTTTACTTGAACGCCTGGAAGCACAACTTTATCACACACCCCTACCGCCTGTTCAAAAATTCTACATTTTCCTGGTTTGTGGCTCTTTAAATAAACTACGATGATAACAACATCGAGGTAAATACATGTTTGAAATATGCAGGAACTGTTATTAGAGTAAATCAAGCATTTGATGAGTTTAAGCGCATCATTAAGTTTAAGGGATGTCTTAATACAGTGGAGTGCAAGACTGAAAATATCAATTAAATTTTCCCGGAACACGAATACATACGAGATGGAAACAAATGAAAATTTGTAAGCCGAGAATAAAATTCGCAAGATGACCCAAATGTGCATCTTGCGACATTGTAACACTAACATGATGGAAAAACAATAAAAGTGAACGAAACGGGGTTTAACGTCCTACGTTTCTGCAATGCCCATGCAGGCTAATGAAGACGGACATACAGTGTGTTATATGGGATCAATTTTGTCCAGACGGCAAAACAATACAGTTTCGACTTACAGAAGCATTTGGTTGGTTTCGCGCCCACGTAAAAGATTACATTTTATGTCCTCGCTCTTCATTCGGAGAGATAGTTTTGTCTAAATTTGTGTCTGCGCTCTCACTCTTTTTCGACAGATGCTGTTCCTGGAGATTGACGGGTTTGTTTGGGTTTTTTTTGTGAAACCCTAACACCTTGTTTTAATTCATCACAGAACCCCCTTCGCAAAAGTCTGTCTTCATTCTCATCGCGAGTCGACAATTTCTCTGAATCAAACACCAGTCTTCGGTGTAAAATGTTTAAATCGTTCCAGTTTTATGGGTACATAGGGGATTCAGTCCACTAATGAATATAAGTAAACTTTTATCTTCCTGTGTGTGAACGAACAATTGGTGTTAGTCCCGATATTGCCTGCTTTGTGTCGAGTGGACGTTAGATCCCATTTCTCCCTCTCTCCGTGATTGCATGAACACGTGGAATGCCCCAGTTAGTCGGATATTACCGGTACAGCAAATGGGAGAACCTGGTGATGTCACCATGCGATATTTAGCAAACTGTAAGATTTTATCAAAAGTTGACAAAAGAACTTTTTTAGTCTCCGTAAGCCAATTATTATTTCGTAGTTACCGTTCTATTCTCCAATTTTTTTAACAGTCCTTTTGTGTTCTTTTGTGTCCTTTTGTGTTCATTAACAGGAGTTCACCCATGGTCAGGTGAATGTTGTTATCGCAATGAACATAATGGATAACATTCTTAGCGGGTAAAATATGACATAAACAAAGACCGTAGACAAACAGAATTCAACCTGTTCCGCGAGAGGGGCACACGTCGCAAATTAGCTTAATTACTGGATAACCCCTATTATGGATCAGTGATCAAGAATGACGACGACTCTGCCAGAACATTAATCACTGCGGTCACCCTGATTGATTCATATTATATATATATATACATACACAGTTAGTTGTCTGCAGTGGAAAGCGAGGAATCGCGAGAACTTTTGGACACAATACACATAACACGATGACGTAGTGCCCAATTATCGAACGAAGAGTTTGATTTTAAGAGAAGACGTATCGGATCAATGCTGTACATCCACGTATAGTGTAGATGTGAGCTTGGCATCACGAGTCTATTCAGATCGTCAAACAGTCAGCCAATAGACTTCTATTTGCCTGACTGTCAACAAGGAGACGAGAGCAAGGGGAGATCTAAAACATGTAATCCGTTTAAATATCGTTTCGTTTCTGTTTTTTTGGATTTAATTTTTAACCAACCACGGCGAAATGAGAAAATGTGCTGTTAATATGTGTACTTTTATACAGAACAGATTATTTTACTAAAAGCAACAGGTTATTGTATTAGAATTGTTTTGAGGGAGTTTTTCGCTAGTTTGTAATTTTGACGGATTAACGTATTCTGCTCGGATCTTCGGTGGGTAAGTACAGTTCCTTAATGTTCTCCTATTTCTCGATTGGTGCTGATCATTCGATTGTTTTATTAACAGTCAATTACCCTTTTACAACATTAATTTCACAGCCATAAAACCATTTGCAACAAATTCATTCAACACGCGAAGACCTTTTTAATTATTAAAACGCTTTTATTATCTGTTTTAAGATTATGGAATTTTTATATATTGTTTTATATCAAGGCGATAAACCACAAGATTTACTTTGTTTTTTATCAATTTGCCTTATTTTTGATAAAGCTTTTTTTTCTTGAAATCTCGTCATATTTTAACTTACAGTCACGTTAAAAAGCCATTTCCGCAGCCATTTGTGAGTCTCCGACATTTGGGGTTAATTGTATGCTAAGCGAGTACATAAGCATAAATACAAACGAATTGTCAGAGGAAATATTATTCAAAAGGCAGCCATGTTGCATTTATAAAGAGGGTAAAGATTTATTCCGTGCACAAATTATGAATAATATAACCGCCTGTTAAACACGGACCGGGAAGGAGTAAGACAGTTACTAATGCGTTTCTTTTTTCAAACCAAACCCGGGTTTTTTTTGTTTTGGTTTTATTTTTTGTTGTTGTTGTTGTTGTTGTTTTTTTGTTGTCACTTTCTACTTTGCGTTTTAAAAATAAAATCGAGAACACTCCAGACCTAATTTAAAAGATAGTAGCGAAAACTTTTATCAAAATATAGAATACGTAAAACTAAATACATTCCATATAAAATATTCCGCTTGAAACTGATTTAAATTCCATCAAGATAGGATATGTCGTTCTTGAAAGGTTGCAACCCCAGCACACTACAATGACTATATTTTAGTGTGATACCCCACGTGTGAAAATGGCGATACGGTCTCTCTTTGTTTTTAATGACGAAAATTATTGTTGTCCAATATGTTGATTTGAAATCAGAATGTGGTGGCAAAAATAAATGTGGGTGTTCGATTTTTGAAATGAAATGAAATGGGTTTGACGTTTTACTTTTCTGCAACAACAGGGGTGGGGTGGGGTAAGGGTGGGGGTGAAGAATGGCATACTCAATGTAATGTGCCATTGGAGAAATCATGTTCGGACAGCAGTGTCTTCGACTATTCTTTGTCGAATTTCAACCGCAAATGTACGTCAACGTGTACACGAGACCCTGGTTTCTGGTCTCTTCGAACGACTAGGCAAGTCACCCATTCTGCCCCACTGACTGACAAAGGGAGACCACTCACAGAAAATCCAGAGGAACATTGTCGAACATCACCGGGATTGCCCCCCCCCCCCCCCGACACACACACCGATTGGTTAGTGAGTCACGGTGGCTTCTGTTAGATTTTGGTTAGTGAGTCACGGTGGCTTCTGTTAGATTTTGGTTAGTGACTCACGGTGGCTTCTGTTAGATTTTGGTTAGTAAGTCACGGTGACTTCTGTTAGATTTTGGTTAATGAGTCACGATGGCTTCTGTTAGATTTTGTTTATACCTGATATAAGATAAAAAAAAATACAAATGGCACAGACTGTCTTGAGAATTACGAATTTGTGTGCATACATGTATGTATGAAAGTAATACATTTTCTGACATAAAATGGAAATAAAATATATTATAGATCGCACAGGAAAATTTTATATGATAAACTAAATTACGATACAGACTATACACATTATAAAAAAAAAATATATCAATCAACGTACGAAGTGCCAACGCTTTATATTTGTATATTTAATAATCAATAGCGTGCCTGGAGTCTATAAAACATGTGACACAAAATTACAGTCAGCAATTAGCAATTACATTTGTTATAGTGTATCTTTGTATATATTATTATTATTATTATTTAATTTTAGTTAAAGATACACTGTGTAAGATTTAGATAAAGAGCTGACCGTTCTTGCTATAATAGCTCAAACATAGATAATTTAAAATGAAAATATTGCAAATTTCATTCAAATTAGTTCATTCTGAGCCAAGTTATCACTCGTCAATGTGACCGTTAGCCAGTTTATTAAATGTATTATCTGTGTTATCGTCGTTAGTGTTGGAATAAACTACACCCCCAAAAAACAGCACTACGGCACTTATAAAAAATAATTGTTATACATAGTGACGACCAAACAGTTAGAATAACATCCACGTTGTATAGGCAGAATTGCGATGTAAACATGACATGTTTGTTTCCTGATTTGAAATTGTAAGCTATGAAATTTGTAAAAAGAATAAAAAAACAAAAATCACTAGTCAGATGTGAGTTTCAAGAAATCAAGAGTCAGATGTCAGATGTGAGTATCAAGATATCATGAGTCAGATGTGAGTTTTAAGAAATCAAGAGTCAGATGTGAGCATCAAATTGAGTAGTTCACAAAGATTGACACTCCTTGTTGTATTATTAACACCGTATTATAGATATGGGGCTTAAGCTCCACTCGACACAAACTAGGACTAACATATCGTAAAAAATTTATTTCAATAATTCGCCTGAGCATAGGGATCTTTAGCAGTGGGAGGAAACCACGGGACCCTGTGAAAACTCACGAGGTTATCATGCTCAAGCTTAGGATCAAAACCACGTCATTTGAATAAATGGCAGGCCATATGAGCTAAAGTGCTTGTCTGCGATATCACTTCGATGGAAGCGGACATTAAACACAGTTATTTCACACACAACGGAAGTGCACCCGATTACACTGAAATAAAAAAACAACATAAAATTAAAATGATAACTAAATTACAATATTGGCAGACCATAATATGATCTAATGTACACCCAATTACACTATAAAAAACCCCATAAAATTAAAAATATAGCTAAATTACAACATTGGCATTCAGGAATTATAAATCATATTTTGAATATTATTCTGCATAACAATTATACGAAAAATAATCAATTCCCTTCACAAAACATATTTCCCCGCAAAATAAATAATTTGTTCCCTTACAATAAATCTTCTTCAAAATAAAACATTTTCCCCCTTCAAAATAAATTATTTTCTTTCCTCAAAAAAAAAAAAATTTCTTTCCTCAAAATCAATCATTTAGCATTAATCATTTTTGTTCTCAAGATATATCATGTTTTCCCCTGAAATGAAATCATTTGTTGACTCAGCTACCCACCCCCACCCCTTCCCGACCCCATCTCATACCGTAACCATAACATGTATTAATGTACATAATTGATGTCGCAAGTATCACGTAGCTGTAAATGTTTATTATGATACGTGGTTACTATTTACGTTCCGATCCATTGTCTGTTAATGTAAATAACGGTAAATCTATAAGCCATTATGATGTAGGGATATGGTCTATTGTCAACTTATCATTAATAAAAAATCTCTCCCCTATTGTCCACTATGACAGATAACGGATTTTTTTCTGAAAGTTAAATCAACATAAAATTTACAGTGTTAATGATTAATTAAAGATACATTATTCAAGAGCTAAATCTGTCTATTTCAGGTCTTTCTTTAGGTCTTAAAGGGCTAATCCCGATAATTTTTTGAAGAATAAAACTGTTTAATTTTGTTTTAAAATCCCTTAAAATCCTCTACCTAAAGGCCGAGCAACTAACTCAACATTTGGAATAAGTTTTCAAATAACTGAAACCCGTCAGTCTTTATCTGGAAATGGAGACCGGTGTCCCCAAGCTGTATTATGCGTGTCTAGATAAAACCAGACATTTTTTATTTAAAAATAATGTGTAGGTGAAATTTACCTTTCATTATCAAGTACAGCATTTAAGTCATTCACTGTATAGACCTCTCAATGAACGGGAATCGATTATCAGGTCTCCCAACTAAAAAATTGACCCGAAATCTTAAAAGGGTTACGTGTCCGGATAAGCAGTTTTGACGATCACGTCCAAACGACTCAATATTTTGAGCTGAAATTTTGAGATACGGTCAATACACCATTCCTCTATATTTTGGCGTTTAAATTTCATACATAGAATTTATTTTTGATACTCTGTTCAAATAAGGGATAGTCCCTTTAAATATTATATAAACTATTAATTTAACATTTATTAACATCACAAGACCATAATCAACTCTCAATGGCATCGGATGGCTCTCATTTTAAATATATTAAAACGGTTCGGCCATTCAATGATTTAATATAAAAATGGAGAAGCGAGACTAAGTATCGAATAACCAGTACCGTGGTTACGATAATAAACAATCAATGCTCACATCTTGTCAAAACTAAAAACAGCGATAACTTCGATCAGAATAAAGTAATTTGAATGAAATTTTCAATAATATTCATTTTGCATTATCTATTTTTAAACTATTATAACAAGAACGGTCACCTCTTTATCTAAATCTTAGATAATGCATCTTTAATTGTATTTTTTTGTTATTCGGTTCTAATTTGATATATTGTTTTTCATAGATAATTTAAAATCCTCGAATGACATTTGTAAGTAGCAGCATAACATTCATAATAACATAACTTTATGCATGTACCAGTTCTTGATTTATTACATACAACGTTTCAGTAATCTTACAGGTATATTTATCAAGGAGTGATCAATAATGAATCCAACCATACATATAATCTACATTCATGAGTAAAACAAATCATGCCATCAAAACAAACAAAAACAGGTTTTTTGTTGTTTTTTTTTTTGTTGTTTTTTTATCATTGCTTGATAAAGATTGTAAGATTATTGAAACGTTGCATGTAATAAAGATTGTAAGATTATTGAAACGTTGCATGTAATAAATGAATTAGTAGATCAATAAAATTGTGTTATTATGAAGATAATTTAAAAGTTTAGAAAGTTGAGTGATTTCATTTCCCGTGTCTTAATATGAATCTATGTGATGCGACTCAAAACTCAGAAAAGGCGAAGGATATTAATCAACATGTCAGTGGCATCAAATATCTTCGTAACTTCTAGACTGAAATTAATAATAATACCATTTGGTTTTGAATTATACGAAACGATATCGCTCTGTTACGATGGTGATGTGACTCGTGCCTTTTGCGACTC